TGCTATCAAATAGCACACCTAGGTTCCTAACTGATGACGAAGAATTGACAGAGCAGCCATCAAGTCTTAGAAAGTGTTCTAGGTTATTATATACTAAGTAACCTTAATCAGTCCGTAACTACAGATCTAATCTGTTTGGTGCCTTTCTTTGCCGAATTGGATATCTTCTGTCCTTGTTTCCATTGGGATGTGTGGTTGAGGGGCATTTGCATGAGCCTCGTTACCAGCATCAGGAGCAAAGTCATCAGCTGTTGTAGTGACCACTGGATCTATCATATCCTGTGCATTAGATGACCGCAGATGATCCACATGCACTTTCACACTTCGATCTCCGACTTTCACTTGGTATGTGAGAGGTCTGTGCTTGAGCAGAATATCACACCTGGAAGCCAAGCACGATGTGGATGCCTGAAGCTGCGCACAATGACGTTCTGTCCAACCGCGAAAGATCGGAGTTTCTTAAACGGTGTGTCATGGAGCCTTCTTTTGCTGCCCTTGATGTTTGAGAACAACAGCTGAGGTATTTGGCTTTAGCAGTGTAAGACGGATAGGAGGCTGCCTTTTCAGGAACAACTCAGCAGGTGTTCGTTTTGTTACTGTGTGAGGAGTATTTCGATAGGTCAACAGAAAACGAGCCAGGTGTAATTGGGGTGATACTAACTCCGAACTTAGCCGTTCCCATGCCTTCTTGAATGTTTGGACCACCCGCTCGGCTTGTCCGTTTGTAGCAGGGTGATATGGAGGTGACAGAATGTGGCATACCCCATTATTCTTTAGAAACTCCTCAAACTCTCTCTGGAGGTGAATGGTGGACCGTTATCCGACACCAACTCCTTTGGAAGCCCGTAGGCAGACCAAAGATGACGTAAGATGTTTATTGCCTTCTCAGCATTGGTCAGTTGAGTGGGGAAAATTTTGACCCATTTTGAATGAATATCCACAATCACTAAGAAGTGTTGCTTGGACCTATATATCCAGCATGGATGGATCTCTAACTGCTGCAATAGCAAAAAACTCTCTTGATATTTTAAGAACAATTACAGAAGAATAAAATAAAGCATATTTTGTTACCTTTTGAAACTTAAAAGGGTTCAATTTGAGCAGATGATTTTTCCATCGCTGTCATTGTTAGAGCACACTTCCCCAGTACATTCAGCATCTGGCTCTTATTCGCGATCTCAACCATATTCTCAAAACTATCTTTTTCAAAGACTTCATATTCAATATTTTGATAACTGGCAGCTTATTCACCACATCCAGCATCAAATGGCAGTGACATTTATACGTCATTGCGTATAGTAATTGCTCTGCAGTAAAGCCATTCAAACCAGTTAAATTTTTGCTGATGATGTTCATTTGTTTTATGCCTGCGGTAATTATGAGTGAAACGTCACGTCATCATTGTGTATCAAACAGTGC